TATTTTCCAATTAATAAACAAACCCAGATAGCTTTAACGAGGTAAGTCCCATATCATGCTCATTTGTAGGTTGCACGCTTCTATATTTTCGTTAAATTTTTACTTTTGATAAGAAACAGAGTCCCATTACTAAAGAGGGCAGCTAAAGATTATAGAAAGACAAAAGCTATTTTGCTCTCTCCTGCTTTATGGTCTCTAAACTCAAGAATGCTAACCCCTATTGTTTCTATCATCTTACTAATTTCCCACCCTTAATCCCATTACTCTTACTTCTACTCAGTACTCAGCTTTCTCTCAATAATTTTTTTTTTTTGTCTCTTTGCAGATAACCACCATTTGAATAGTCGTAACATGTTTCAGTTCTATAACATTATGAAGCATGTCAGTGAACATTATGCAATAGGATTCAACAACTTTAGACAGTAGAATGAGATACTAAGTACTGCATCTTTACCTACAGAATATTCCATTTACTTGGTAAATAATAAAAAAAAAAGGTTCCCTTTCCAAGTTGTAAAAAAACCTTTATTCAGAAGGGCATGTGAATAACTAATAATCTTATCAGCAACCACCACTACAAGGAGATATACAATTCAACTCTTAACCTATGTTTAGTACGCAATAATAGAGAAAGAAAAGAATTAAACTCTTTATCTTTCCATTGTTTGGTTATTGATGAAAATAAAGAGGAAAGGAAAATAACTCCAGGTTTTCCTTCTCAAGCTCTCTCTTCAAATGGCGTATAATTTGAAGACAAAGTTGGCTCATAGGAAACTTTACCATAACTATATATTCTTCTCTTTATTTCCCCTTAATCAAACAGAAGAAAATAAAAACTTCCGGATTTTTTTTTTCTTGAGCACAAAGTTGTTCCAGTACAATGCATTTCTCAAAACGTGGTATCAAAGAGGGAAAGCTTTGAGAAAGGAGATATTCTTCTTCTTGAGAATCTTTCTGCGTTTAGAGGGGAAGTTGACAATTGTTCAAAATTTTCTCAAGCATTGTCGTCAGGAGTGGATATTTTTGTTAATGATTACTTTTCCCGGTCTCATAAGATTCTTGCATCCTCCGGCGGAGTCGCTCGCTTCTGCTATGCCAACTTAGCTGGTTTTCACTTTGAGGAGAACCTATCTCAACTTAGGAGGAATACAGAAAGCAACACAAAACCACATGTAGCAATTGTATGCCTCCCACTGCTAGTATATTAGTTCCATTATTTGTTCTTTCACATATTTATGCCTATCTCAACTTTCAAATTTTCCAATTTATCTATGGTCCATATTCATTATTCTGTTTCCTTCACATATCTATGGTCCTTTATAATTATGCAGTGAAATTTTTACGGTATATTGTAAATTTTCAAAGTTAAATTTGGTGAGTATAGTGGTGTAGATGCACTCTCTCTGGTATAACCACTAGGATTAAATTCCACCTTGATGTCATATGTATTTTCTTTCTTGATCGCAGTCTGTTCTCTTTTGTGTGTTCAAGTACGCATTATTGTTGGCCTTGTGTGGAACTCATTGTCAAACCTCCCTGATTTGAATTGCAGAAAGTCACTTGGATTGGTTCAGTGAAATTCCGTACGAGTGACAGCACAAAAGGAGCTTCTGAACCTGAACTGAACTAGCTCAAATGCTTAATCAACTAAGTCAAGCAACTGCAACATAACTGCTGTTGGGAATATGGCATGTGAAGCAATGGTGAAGGAATCAAATTCCACCTTTAATTTCACTATGATTAAGGATGCTCCAGTTGTGTGGGAGTTTCTCAAAGGAAGAAAACTTCCGGGGTCATGGCCTTAGATAGGGTACTATTCATATCTTCTTTCATAATCTGGATTGATGCATCAATCTGACTTCATTCTTATCTAAAGGAGTTCAGAGATCACTTCAAAATGTAAATATTTTCCAGCATTGCATAACATTATTTAAAAAAATATTTTCAAACTTCTTAAAGTGGCTATCTAGTGCAGGCATACCCATTTGATATTGATTGGAGTGATGCCTATTCTGATCCAGCTCAACCTTTGGTAGTTGATATTGGAAGTGGTGTTGTATTTCATCTTCTTCTCCCTTCCTATGGATTTCTTTTTCCACTTTGAGGTTTCAGTTTGTTACCTTATTGTTGTTCTACAAGTATAAGCAAGATATTAAAAAGAGAGAGAGAGAGAGAGAGAGAGAAACATTAGGATTAGGTTCTAAAAGAAGCTGAATTTGATGCAATTGACAAAATTCTGATTGGAATAAACAAATAACAAGGCTTGTTGAGTTGAAACAGTTGTATAATTTCAACATGCCCTTTGTGATTTGGTCATGAGATAGTCATAGCAGTTACTGGCTATCTATTGACTCTGAATAATACATGGCAGGTAATGGAATGTTCCTTTTGGGGATGGCAAAAACAAGGAAGGATTTGAATTTTCTTGGTTTGGAGATTAATAAAAAGGTTTCCAGGATGTGGAAATTTTGTATTCTTTTTGCCTATTCTTATCCTCTATTACTGACAGTTTTACAGCTTTTTTCAGCTTGTAAAACGTTGCCTGGACTCTGTTCACTGGCATGGGATAAGAAATGGGTAAGGGTTGTAGCCTTGGTGCTGCAAAAAAAATTATGGCCTTGTGGATTTGCTTGTCTAACTGACTTTTGCATGAACTTTAATGTGCGTGTTAGAGGTAGCAATATTTAATCTGTTAAACTTTAAGAACCTACAAAATGATATCCCTTTATGCATTATGAAAATGTAATGCCATTGCGCCAACAATGGAAAGACATGCTAAACCGAACTTTTTTCGTTTCTTCCTTTCTTTAAAGGAATGTTATATGTGATTCATGTGTTTCATTATCTTCTCTAAAATTATTTGACAACTTCTAAGTAATTGCCTTGTATAGAACAACCTGATGACACGTTTTCTCATTATAAGTTGAGAAAGATATAGATGTCTGTTAGAAAAAGGGTACTATGTTTAGTTCTCTATCACTTTACTTGAAAATGACATGGAAAGTAGGGCAGTATATTTGATGTAATGTAAAATCAAATGCATTTTCTTGTCCTTATAGTTTTATCAGTCTTGCATTCAATGCTTAGGTTTATTTTTATCCCTAATTAATTGAGATATTTTTCCCCATTTAGTGCCCGAATCCTGATTTCAACAAACCAGATCATAGATGGAGTATGCTGCAAAGGTCATTAGTCGAAGCAGTTGCTGATCTGCTTACACCTAATGGAAAGGTAAAACTATTTTGCAGCTCCACTTCCATAAGGAGCTCCAGAACTATCCTTCCCCCCTTCTTCACCTTTATTTCCATCACTGCAAGTAATGACACCATATACTCCATGATTTATTCTTGAACTTAAGACTACACAACTAGAAAATCAATGTAGGTCAGCTGCAGGACGGATTTGTCAGTTTATTTGCTAATTTCTGTTATATTTACTAGGTCTTTCTGCAATCTGACATAGAGGCCGTCTGTCTGAGATTGAAAGAACAGTTTCAGAGATATGGCAAGGGTAAACTTACTGTGGTGCATGAACAAAGTTTTGCCATAACTAATAGAGGGTGGCTTAAGGACAACCCGTTTGGAGTTCGATCTGACTGGGAACAACATGTCTTAGCTCGTGGGGACCCTATGTACAGATTAATGCTTTGTAAATCAACCACTACTGAATAAAGTTGTTGCAGTCGCCAGTGGAAGTAAATGTGACATCTCACTTTGCAGTGGTCTAGGGTCCTTTCTTGGTTCTGTTTCTCCAAGCAAACTATCCTTCAGTGGTGATTGATGTGGGCTGCTGCTTTTGTGATGTTACCAAATTATAAATTGGTAGCACCAGTTCCAGATTTGTGGCTTGCACCCCACCTAATAAATGGATGGAAATCTTTGGTATGCCGGCAACAAATTGGTGACAACAAATAGTGCATCTGCTCTAAAACAAAGGATGGTGGTGGGATGAATGGATACAATGTGTAGCACATACAGTATTGAAAGGGAGGAACAGAATATGTTTTGAGAACGTTACGAAAGGTTATGATCGATATCCTGCCTGGTGTCTGTAAAACAAAGGAACCATAGAACAAGCTTCAACTGTAGCCATTTGAAGTTGCTCAGTGTACCAATTTGATCCTTATTACTACTGTTGTAATCATTGTCACTTGTTTGTAACAATTTTGGATGTAAATTCTGTTTTTACCATATATTTACACGAGTTTCAGGAAAACATTGTTTCTCTTAATGTAACGATGTAACCATTCAATTACCTCTTGTGTTGTTGTTCTACTGCCTCAAAAGGGACCGGCTTTAAACTTATAAGAAGATGTGGCCTCCTTGGCAAGGTTCTCTTAAACAAGGCTAAATGGCGGTTTGACATAATTGTAGCCTGGCCATTTCTCTAGTGTGAGATTATTCCCTTTGTCTCTTTGGCTTTCTCTTTCTTTCCTTAAGTAAGGTTGCGTCCATGATGGAGAGTTAACCACTTCGTCAAAATATACATTGGTTCATAAAGTTGTATAGGTCGCATTGGTGGGTTAGCTGAGAGAACTTCATGAGTTCTTGCAGCTACCGCGATTGGTGGGCGGTTCTTTCTAGCAGGTGAAAACCACAAAACAAGGGGGCAGAACTGGTGCCTGCAATCCCTTTCATACATTAAGTGCAAGTATCTGATTCCAGATTCCATAAGGGGTCTATCCTTATGTCCAATTCTCTAAGAAAAACCATTATAAACTAATGTATTGAGGACAGATGTAATTTTCCGTTGTTGCTCCAGTGTGAATGGCACCTATTCATACATAAATGCTCGAATGAATCTGCTCATTAATTACCTAAAGTAAAAAATGTCAAAATAGAAAGAAAAACTGTGTCAATTTAATGGAGAAATGTTAATACATCAAAATAATGCCACAAAAACTGTGGCCCTGTTTGATAAAAGTCAATTATAAGTAAAGTTATGGAAATGTCAATTATCAGTGAACCAATCTTCAGGGACCTTGACCTCTCAAGCTGGCCTCATGCACCTGCCTGTTCTCCCTTCTGCACTGCCAGAGCCTGTGCTGCTGCTGCCGCCTCCCCCTCTTCCCGTGGCCCTGCTGCTGCCGCCTCCCCCACTTCCCGTGGCCCTGCTGCTGTCGCTGACCCCTCCTCTTCCAGTCCCCTAGTTGCTGTTGCTGCCCCCTCGTCTGTCTGCCTTAAAGACCCAGCCGTTTGCACAACATGGCACCAATTGACAACTGTCACAACCATTGGGACTAACCTGTGCACCCTACAATTTAAAATTTGTTTAAATTAATGAAATTAAAGAGAAAAATAACAACACCAACAACAAAGGCAGAAACAAACACCTCCAGGAGTCAAAGTGGTGGTGGATGATGTCGATTGCCCTCCTCACAATAAGGGCACTCGAAGGCAACCAAAAGATGGCAAAATATTTGCCACCGGTTGTTTTAAAGCTTAAATCGCCATAACCAACCAATGCAAGAGAGCAAACGCAAAAGTAAAGGCCATCGGTAAATGAGTGGCCTTCAATAATGCAAATACCCGCCACTCCCACACTCACAACAAGGACAATGGACAATATTGAACATGTAAATTCAATCTTTATCACATTGCCTTCGACATTTCCAGCATTCGCAAAAATTCTATTATATAAATGTGTGATAAGCCTATCGCTTAACCGAATCATACATAAATTCACACACGGCTCCACATACAAGCAACCAATTCCTATTACAGCTATAGCAAACCATTTCTCCCAAATGGCATGGGCCACAAAGTCCCCATACCCCACAGTTGCAAATGTAACCACTGCCATGTATGTTCCATCGACAATAGAGTTACGGACAAGCTTAGGGGGGGAATTCTTGTTGGAAGAGAAATGGTGAAAAAAAGAAAACCCAGTTATGGCAAAGATGAAGTATAGACCAAACTGAACTATGGGTACAAAAATCAAAGGATATGGTATGGGCTGTAGGGGTAGTTGATGTTGCATATTCCCAGCCATTTCTAAAATAAATCATGAAAACAAAATCATAACCTATACAGACAAATTAAAACAGATAAAGATATACACACATACATGACATATGCACAGTGGTGAACAGAGCAATCAATTTATTACAAGAAAAGGGAAACGAAAACTACCTAATGGACCAGTGAGCAGAGCAGTGAACAGTGGTGAACAATGGCAAACAGGGGGCAAACAGTGGTGAACAGGGGGCAAACAATGGTAGCAAACAATGGCAAACAGTGGCAAACAGTGGTAAACAACAATGGTGAACAGTGGCGCCGCAAAAGAGACGAGGGAGCTGAGCAGATGGTTTTTCTTGTTCTTTTCCCCCAAAAGTTTGCTTTAAAATGGCTAGGTTTCTAAGTTCAACTATGAAAATTACAAATTTTAACCGGTGAAACCCAAAATTCATAAAATAGACCATGTTTCATTGAACTCTTAAAATCTTATTAGGGTTCAGGATTTGTTCATAAGATTATATTTGAGGAACTAACTAAAAAAAAGACAAATGAAATGGTTTTTTTTTGTGGTGAAATCAAATGGTTAATTGAATGGGAGGGGAGGCTGTTTAAATACGTTTGATAAAATTCTTCTTCTTTTACAGCAACCAAGTGAGCAGAGCAGTGAACAGTGGTGAACAGAGCAATCAATTCATTACAAGAAAAGGGAGCAATCAATTCATTACAAGAAAAGGGAAACGAAAAATACCAATGGACCAGTGAGCAGAGCAGTGAACAGTTGTGAACAGTGGCGCCGCAAAAGAGACGAGGGAGCTGAGCAGATGGTTTTTCTTCGTTCTTTTCCCCCAAAAGTTTGCTTTAAAAGGGCTAGGTTTCTAAGAACTATGAAATTTACAAATTTTAACCGGTGAAACCCAAAATTCATAAAATAGACCATGTTTCATTGAACTCTTAAAATCATATTAGGGTTCAGGGTTTGTTCATAAGATTATATTTGAGGAACTAACTAAAAAAAAAGACAAATGAAATGGTTTTTTTTGGTGGTGAAATCAAATGGTTAATTGAATGGGAGGGGAGGCTGTTTAAATACGTTTAATAAAATTCTTCTTCTTTTTTTTAAAATGATTGCAACAACAAAAATCAAATGGTTGATTTAATTCTATGTATGTTAATGTATGGGGAGTGAATACCTGCAGCAGGCCCAGGCCCAGCAACACAGAGTCAGACCCAGCCTCTGTGAGTCCTCCAAAGCCACAATCGGCCACTGGACCGCGCCACTGAGCCGCCTCCTCCGCCGCCGCCTCACCTCGAGAATCTCAACCTTCCACCGCCTCCGCTGCCTCTATCCAGTTTGAAAGAGAAGGAGGCCGTCCGGCCAGAGATCTGTAAGCGGATGGATTTGGATTGGGGGTTTGAAGGCGAGGGAGGAGAGGGAGGCCTGCGGCCATTGTGATAGATAGATCTGTAAGCGGATGGATTTGGATCGGGGTTTGAAGGCGAGGGAGGGTGGGAGGAAGCCATTGGTAGATCTGGTGGCCATAGATATTGATTGGGAGTTTGAAGGAGAGGGAGGCCCTGCGGCCATTGATAAAGAGCGAGAGAGAGAGATCTGTAAGCGGATGGATTTGTATTGGGTTTTGAAGGTGAGGGAGGGAGGAAGCCATTGGTAGATCTGGTTCACTCACATAGATGATACAAAATATTGATTGGGAGGCCATAGATGTTGACTGGGGGTTTGAAGGAGAGGGAGGCCCTGCGGCCATTGATAGAGAGCGAGAGAGAGAGAGAGAGAGAGAGATCTAAGCGGATGGAGATGATACAAAATATTGATTGGGAGGCCATAGATGTTGGCTGGGGGTTTGAAGGAGAGGGAGGCCATGCGGCCATTGATAGAGAGCGAGAGAGATCTGTAAGCGGATGGATTTGGATTTGTGGGTTTGAATAAGGAGTTGCTAGGGCACGCTTCGACCCAATCACCGCGTGTTATGAAGCCTCCAATTGAAGGGTGTGAGATCACCTCAATCTGAGGGCACCGTGGCACAATCAACCCTTGATCTTGATCTTTGATCTCATCTGCAAATACACCGGGTAAGGATTTGGGGTTCATCAGAGATGACTATATTAGGACTAGTACCCAAATAAAACTAACTTCGCTGAGAAAAAGCCCATTGGCTATTTCCTCAAATCTCTCTTTTGTCAGCATGAGCATAGCCACCCGATGAGACGTACAAAATTGACCCACGTGGCCTAGTGCGAGCCGTTTGATGCAATCTGACTCGGACCATAGGCTTGTGGCCACACGGTTCTTGGTGAACCCGGTGGGGAATATTGGTCCAATTGAATATATTTGTTGCTTTTCTTGCAAGGCTGAAACGGTCTCATATTCAAGCTCTTGAACTGTGTTACAAGGAATGGAATCTGCGTTTTTAATTTTCTCAAAGGCCTTGACCATGATCCGGTGTACTGGTGAAGTGTAATCACTAGGTTGAGGGTATGATGACAAGTCCTTTGGTTCAACTTTGATAATAACACAATAACACATTTTTATTGCCCTTAATATTTAATTTCAAAACAAATATAAGGGGGTAATTAAAGAATATTGTGCAATTATATCTTTAATTGGTCAAATTGGTTTAATGCTATTTTATTAACTTTGATCAATGATTTTCTATTTTGTAGGTGTGCATGTGTGTGTGTTGTGAGAAGAATCAAAAAAACACATGCATGACTAGAAATGTCCCCTTCAAAAGAATGAATTGTATAAATAAAGATGAAGAAGAAATGGAGTACAACCAACAAAGTGAAGCATCCAAGCAATTAACACATGCAAATGGGATGGAAGCAAGAAAGAATCAATTGAATTCACATGCTTGTGAGATGTCATCCACTCCAAAGATGCTCCAATTCAATTTCACTTGACTAAAAAGATGATGAAATCCACAAGAAAAGGGAAAAGAACATAAAAGAATTCAACAATGGAATTATGGCAACCTCACCAACATAGACAAGATGAAGTGGGGTTATGGATTGTATAAAAATAGGAATTGTGGTGTTGGAATTCATCATGATGTTCCTCCCTCTTAGCTTATAAATAGAGAAGTCTTCAAGCTTCAAAACACACACCAAGAGCTCCACACTTCATGAGCTTTCTCTCATTTCTCCATCTCTATATAGTTTTAATTTCTGTTTTAGTTTTTATGGGGAGCTAACTCTCTAGCTAAGGCTAGGGAGAAGCTTTCAATATAAGTGTGTAATTTATTTAGTTCGATCCGACTTTAAGCTTAATGTAAATGATTTTTATTATGGTTGTTCAAATAAAATTGGTAGTTTTTCTCTTTATTTAATTGATGAGTGTTTTCAATCTATTCATAGGTTCAGTCAAGCTTTTCCTGTAGTTTGGTAAAAACATTCATGCTTTTGAGTTAGGAATGAACTATTAGAATAAGTAAAGATTTTTTTTTTTGATAGTTTGTTGCCAAATGGTACAGGTTATGCTTAAAATATTTTTCAAGAAAGATAAAAAAAAGAGTTTTAAATATTTCAACAATTACTTTTAGGAATCATCTTTTATGGATCAAATTAATATGAATCGCATGTTTATGCTGAAAGTGGAAACCAATGCCTTAGTGTTTTAATCAATTAAATTTTCTTTAAATCAAATCCTTTTTAAATCTACTTCTCAATCACAATTGTTCTTTTTCAGCTCTATTATTTTCTTTACACCGCTCTCTTATCCTATTTAAATCTACTTCTCAATCCTATTTAAACTACTCTTATCAATTAAGGAAAATCATGGAAAAAAATTTAAATTTTTTTAAAAAGACCCAAGTATAGCTACACGGCTATAATAGTTATTGTAATAACCTGATCCTTGATTTATTTTTAATTATTAATTTATTATGGAAAAAATACCATTTTGCCCCTATAATACTTCATTAGAGAAAAATTTGACTTTTTGATCGAGAAGGAATTTGAAAATTTCCGCTTGTACCGTTGCGTAGAGCACGACGAAACGAGTCTGTAGACACGTAGTGGGCTCGAATCGGAGTTATAACGAAGAAATGGTGACAAAACATTAGCCAGTGGCATAATCGTAATTTTAACGAAAAGTGGTTTTCTCTCTCTCTCTCTCTCTCTCTCTCTCTCTCTCTCTCTCTCTCTCCTCGACGGTCTCTTCCTTTCTCTCTCTTCGAAACCACTACACCAGACCACCACCGGCCTTCGGATCGGTCAGGACTGAACCGCCGCCAACCCAGCAGCCCATCTTAACCAACTCCGATGCCAGCCGCTGTTCGATTCCGCCACAAAACCGAGGCATTCCGACCAGTTTTTGATAGAAACTTCACGACTTCGATTTCTCTCATCCGGGCACTAAACTGGATGAGTGCAGTATGCTTTCTCCTATATTTTCCATGCTCTAGCTGAATTTTGGCGTAGGCAACTCGATTTTCGAGTTGAATTTTGGCCAGTTTCAAACCGAGATTCCGGCCACTTTCGGGCATTTTTCGGGGTAGGTCCAAGAACAAAAGTGACTCAAAATGATGTTTTACAACTAGGGTAGGAAGCTTGGCCGGCGGTTTGGAGATTTTCCGGCCGCCGGAATTTGATCAAGATACCCATGCGCTGCCCGAGCATGCAGCGACGCGTGGGCCATGTAGTGGACCGGCATTGTGTCATGAAACGATCCTCGTGTTGTCACGAGAGCGTAAGTGTGCTCAGATTCCGATTCGGATAATATTTGAACCCCGAACGAATCTCACCTATTGTGCGATTTTCGGGTTCGATAAATTTGAATCGTTGGATCCTAGCCAATTTGATATATGTTGATCTAGGTAATTCTAGGATCGTATAGGAATCAACGGATCGTAAATTGGAGTCCCGGATACTCCGGATATGTCAACCCTAGGGTTAGGTTTATAGTAATCGTCCGATCGCGCGATCGTGAGCAATTCGACTATCTGATCGAGACCAAACTCTTGGGACATGTGTCCTAGGCATATTGGAACCTTTAGGAACTAGCGGATCGGAATTTTGAGGTAGTGGACCCCACGGGGTCTCGGATTGACTTTTTGAGAATTGATCGCTTTTTGAGTCTCGGGTCTCTTTTAGACAATTTTAATCATGGGAAAAGCTTATGTGAGCATAGGAATGACTTTATCCTTGATGCACGCACTTCTAAGAATCGGGGGTCAGAGTTTTTACTAAAATATTTATGTTGAGCAATTTTATTAATAAAATATTCATGATGGCTTAAATAGGTACTCGGGCACCAGCTGACCCGCATGAGGGACCTTCGTAAGGTCCAGCTAGCTCGGACACTCAGTGAGTGGACTTTTGGTTTTATAAATGATTTTTTGCTATTAAATTTCATTATTTGATCTTGAATAAGTATTAAATGATTGGTGTTTTCCTAGCGTGATTTGTTGGTTTTAAATATTTTTATTAAGTTGCCGAGTTGAAAAATGCTAAATGGATATAGAAAGCCAGGATTGGGATAATTATAAGATAAAATGGCAGCATGGTGTTAAGATAATTAAAATTTTGTTTTATAAATTCTAATCTTTTTAGAAATATATATTTATCTAAAACCACCATAGGTACCTAAGAATAATAAATGTTGCCTCGGAATAATGTTGCCTTCGAAATACATTTTACCCTGGTTATTTGGATGTCTTTGGATATGTCAGCATGCTTGACTTTGCCCCACGAGTCTTAGGGATATCCGGACCATGAAGAGCGAGGAATGCGGATCAGGCTGACTAAGTGTCCCCTGAATCCTGCGAGGATTGCGGCTCGAGTCGACTTTGTGTCACCGAGACCTACAAGGACGTGTCATTAATGGTGACACGGGGAATTGACGGTAATATGTGGGATAAACAGAACTAAAGGAATTGACGGAAATAAAATGGGTATACCTAGGTGGTAGGCTAAACTTTATTTTTGAATGTTTTCAACAAATTGATGCTTTGTATAAGGGTGTGAATGGCTATATAAAAATATAGATATGTATGCGTGATTTCCGTACGAATATAGAATAAGAACTTGGTTAAGTTTTCTAACTGTTTTTACGAAGGGGTTAGTATGTTCTTATGCTATTTTCAGAAACTTTAATTTTGGTCTACTCACGTTTTTCAATGTATTGCGCCCCCAGGCAGTAAACGTGCACCAGAGCGCCACCACTGGGCAAATTCCGCACTCCTTTCTACCCTCTACTGTATAGGATTTCTTTGTAATCAAATTGGTTCTTGTAAATTCTGAATAGTTGCTCTGATGAGTTGCCCTAGGATTTAAATTTAACTGTTTGAATGTAACTAATGCATGCTGGCAGTTGAGATTCAGTTATATGCTTGTTAACAAGTGAATTTTTTTGGGAAATGAACAATTTACAAGGGAAACTCTGCCAAATTTTCGGCAGAAGTCGAACCTGGAATAAACTTGAATTTAGAATAGAAGGACAATTTGGTCATTTGTGCATGGCACCCACCAGGTGTCGGACACGCACATAGTTTGGCTCAGATTCTAAAGTGGAATTTGGGTCAAGTACTGTCAGCTATACTATTTAAATATAATATTAGGGAGGAAGTGATGAGCCAAAGAGGAACTAACTGATGTAATATCGACTTTGTTTCTCTGGAATAATTTGTATTTTTTTTCTTCTAATTTTCTCACAAATTTTCATTTAATAAGATTTTTTTTTTCAAATCCCTAGTGTTGAAGCAAACATGGGAGTTTTATCATGAAAAGAGAGGGGAAGAAAGAGATGGAGTCTTATCATGAAATGAGAGAGAGGGAGGGTGTGCAACTTGTTTTAAATTTTTTAATTTTTCATAATAAGGGCAAACTTGGAAAGTAAAAGTCAACTTGTATGATATATTAATGACATTGTTTTAACGTATAGCCGAACGACTATACTTTTTATTTAAAAAATTATAAGAAAGGACTGGCCTAGCAATTAGGCGCCTAAATATTCTCTTTTCCCTAGCGTAATTCCAAGGCCTCTTTCCACCTACAAATTTA